TACCATATGGTCATGTATTGATGATATGTTCTCGCTTATGGAATAAAGTGTACAGAAATTGACAGTATGGTAGTTGGACATGACAATAATTCATGGAATGTATCGTACTGTGTACCAGATTGGGAGAATTTTGTCTTAGTAGTAATAGTCTGTAACAATGTATCTCTTTCTTTTCTATAGGTGGGACAAGTCATAACAAAGTGAAATTCATCTTCAATATTCTTATTACAAGTGGGACACAGTCTCCGAGTGGCTGGTGTGTTGTGGTGTCGACCTTTTTTCGATTTGATTACTAAAAAATCATTTGAAATTCGTCAACATTCGTCAAGGCCCAAGGGAAACATCACTTGGCGAAGGTATGAGATCGTGGAACTCTAGTTTCATGGATGACATCGATTTTCGCCTGGTCTCAAAAAAAATATAAAAAAAAGAATCACTTCCTCCGAGGCTCTTGCCTGGGTGCCATCTGACGGATGCCGACGCTCCACGGAACCCAAGAACTCATGATCACGACAGTGCCCACTCACGTCGCAAAAGGCCAGCATGTGCCGGCTTGTCGTAAATGTCGCTTTGTACTACCACAAATTCACAATACCCATTGTATTCCTGTGGTTGAGCAGCATTTTTAGCTGGATTTTTTTTTCGCCCGCGCGCACTAGTTGCAGGGTCTTGAGAGGATGACATCCATAAAATTACGTCAGTTTGGCCTAAGTAAGCCATAACGTAACGTGAAGTCTACATGCCACTGGACTTCCAGACTCCTCAGTTACGCTAATGCGGACACGGGGACCGCGCCGGCTCGGAAACAGTGCGCCAGACTTGTCTGAGATCCACTTCCGACACATTAACTATAGAACAAATGTGCAGCTCACAAAACATGGGGGTCTGCATAGGGTTTCGCACGAAGCGCAGTAGATCGTTTTAATTTTATGTAATTCATAGACAGCTGCTCTTAGTTAACGTAGAGGGTACTCCGCCTTTTATTATGAAATGCGCAAAAAATATAGCAGTATGTTGTGGGATTTGCCGTAAAGAGTAGTCGAACCTCCATAATTATCCGATAACCCCCATACAGACCCCCAAACCTCCTTCTATCCCACAGTGCGGGCTGTTAATTGGACGGAAGTTCTAGTAGATTTTTTAACTCCTTGAGGAACAATTACTCGGGTAGAAGGAAGTTTTTTTCCCACTCCATCAGCAGAAACTGTCTGCGGTCCAAGTGAACAACGGACCTATGTTAGCCTCCACCCCAGGCTTTTCAGCTGCCTGCTCTCAATAAACTCCGCGCTTCACTACATGTGTGTTAGCCTCCACCCCAGACTTTTCAGCTGCCTACTCTCAATAAACTCCGGGCTTCACTACATGTGTGTTAGCCTCCACCCCAGGCTTTTCAGCTGCCTGCTCTCAATAAACTCCGGGCTTCACTACATGTGTGTTAGCCTCCACCCCAGGCTTTTCAGCTGCCTGCTCTCAATAAACTCCGCGCTTCACTACATGTATGTTAGCCTCCACCCCAGGCTTTTCAGCTGCCTACTCTCAATAAACTCCGCGCTTCACTGCATGTATGTAAGCCTCCACCCCAGGCTTTTCTGTTGTCCTGTCCTCAGTGAACACTGGGCTACACTATATTAGCCTCAATCCCAGGCTTTAATTATGCAAATTAGTCCCCGCTATGCATACTTGTAATCTAATTATGTCAAGCATCTTACCTACTATCATAAACTGCCCTGTAATGTCAGAACAAGTTGCTATGGGCCCCGAACTAATGCCACTTCTTTCCTAGCCGAAGAGTTATGTATGTACCGGCTATGTATGCACCATCGAAAATTTGTGGCCCTAGCATGTCCGGATCACGAGATATCAAAACCAGAAGGTCTGCTGCAATACCAAGGAAAACCACCAGGAGGCAAAACATTTCTGGGTCTCATCGATCAAGACCTACCCACCTACCAAGTCATATGATAATCCATTTGCGTTATCGTGCTAAACCACATACACACACACACACACACACACACACACACACACACACACACACACACACACACACACACACACACACACACACACACACACACACACACACACACACACACACACACACACACATGCATGCATGCATACATACATACCCACATACAAATAAACTAACGCTACGGAAAACATAACTATCTTTGCGAATGTAAAATGTTCTAATATAATCATGCTCATAGCGCAACTTCCCATTTCGTCATGATTTTGGTGCCCTACTACGGTATGTTGTCACTATCCCATCTGTCGATTGGGCCATGTTGATTTGATTATATGGATGACATCCTCTGAGAACCCCAAAACGGATGCGAGCGTGTGAATGAAAAAAAAAAAAGAATTAGCAAAAAAAAGTTTCATTTTGAGATTTACGTGGCCATGAAGGTTTAAAAAAAAATGACACAGAATATGGCATGGCGAATAATAATCTACTCTTCAAATTTATTTCTTTATATTTTCGACATTTTTGTTTGATTTTGGCATTCTACTACATTGCTATCGTTTTCCAATATTTATTTTGCAACTTACGGTATATTTTTGCTAATTTTCCAACTGTTTTGTACGATTTACAGTATGGTTGAAACCTTTTTTTTTTTTTTTTTTTTGGAAACGGCCGAAAATTCATGCGCGCGCGGATGTCATCCATATGAGCAAATCAACATGGCCTTGGGAAGACGCTTCCTGTTTCTCGAGGAACATTTCTTATCCACGTGCGTGCGTCTGACGTCATCCGTCAAGTAAAGCCTGTCCTGATTTAACCCTGGCAGCTGAGTATAAATTTGTGCCACAGTTTGAGTATTTGTTGTACGTTAGAACAACACGGCCTGTGTCCATACACC